GCTCAAGCAATCTGCCTCAGCCTTCCAGAGTGCTAGAATTAAAGGTGTGAGCCACTGCACAGGCCTCATTGTGGTTTTAATTTGCATTTCCCTAGTGATTAATGATGTTGAACATTTTTTTATATGCTTATTTGCCACCCTATCTCTTCTTTTATGAAGTAACTATTGAGATCTTTTGTCCCTTTTTTATTTGGTTGTTGAATTTTGAGAATTCTTTATATCTACTCTGTGTACAAGTCAATGGTTTGCGTTTTAAAGTGTGTGTTTTCTAATCTCTGCCTTCTTTTTTCTCATTTGCCTTTTCTCATCTGTGCTATCAGTAAGGGATGCTTTTTTATCAACAGTTACTTCTGATTGCTGTGACTGCTGTTCACCACCCCATTCTTCCCTCCTTTTCTCTTTTCTTGTTTGATTTTAGTTGGCACTTCCATGTATATCACTCATTCATTCATCTAGCAAATAGTTGTTGAGCATCTCATGTTAAAGCTGACCTTTTTTGAATTTGCCAGCAAACTCAAGTGCTTCTTCAGGTTTGAGATCTGTTCAGTTACATTATATGTCATCTTAGAATTGCCAGCTAATTTTTGGTCATTTCTGGATGTTGCTTCTTTATTATCAAAAATGTCTTGAGGGGTTTTTTCTCTGCTTTTTTCTGACCACTTCTAGGTCCACAGCTTGAGATCTGAAAGCTTGAGGGTTGAAGAAGACTGGTTTTGAAGTAGTTAAGGTTTCTCTCCAGTTAGATTTAGTGCGACGAATGGATAGCTATAAAGATTACATATAACAGAGATCATCATTCGCCATCTTGTACCTGCTTCGGTTTTCTCTAATCTTTTCCATTCTAATCCTTTCCTCTGCTTTGAGAAGCAATGCCTGGTAGCAGAACTTGTTTTTATTTATCCACAGGGGGCTTCCTTTGCCTTTGCACACGTTTGCTAATGAACCAGAAGAATGTTTTCCTCTGTGTAAAAGTTGGATAGAGTTCGGTGGAGCTTCATTTCTACTCTTCACTGGAATGCTGTATAGAAATGTTCTTGTGGCATTTTACTGGGAAGTATGAAAAACACGCTCTTATGACATTTCAAAGAGGGTTGAAATTTATTCTGCAGTGTTACACTGTAGAGTCCAGAAAGGTTTGAATAAATGATTTCTTTCATTTTAAAATTCATTTTTATTTATAATTACACTCTTTTATACAATATATATTGTCTTTAACATCTGTATAAATAAAATGTATTCGGTATGAACATTTTTAGTATTTTAAAATTATGAGAGCAACTGATTCTGAAGTATCCTTTAAATTGAAGATTTGCCTCCTAATTTTTTATTAAAATTTGGAATTTGGTATGGTGTTTTTTCTTTTTTTCAATTTTTGCTTTTAATTATTATGGATACATAATAGTTATACATATTTATAAGGTACATATGACATTTTGATACCAGCATAAAATGTATAATGATCAAATCAGGGTGATTGGGTATCCATCACCTCAAGCATTTAACATTTCTTTTGTGGTTTTTTCTTAAAGGAAAATATAATTTTTTTTCCTATGCACCTGTTGTTTATTTCTCTGTCTCCTCTGCCCCTAAATCCTCCTTTCTTCCTCCCTGATTCCCTCTATTCTTTCTTCTCCGCCCTCTCCTTCTCATCCTCTCTTATTTCCACCCTTCTCTTTATTTCCCTCCATGGAATAAAGTGAAAACCATGGATAGCTGTAGCTATTTCTTAAATTTAATCATCACCAACATTTTGATGTTCCAATTTCTTATTTATACCTGTTAGATATACCATAATTTATTTAACCATGCCCAGTCCTAGACATATTGATTGTAAAAAAATTAACCTGTTTCTTTTGAAATAACTGTTGATTGACATTCAGTTATAAGAAGTAATACAGAAAGATCCCAAGCCCTGTACCCAGTTTCCCCAATGGTAATATCTTGCAAAACTATACAACAATAACACAACCAGGATATTGACATTGATAAGGTCAGAATATAAAAAATTTCCATCACCAGAGGGACACCTCCTTTTACCCTTTTATGGCCACACCCACCTCTCTCACCCCCTGTCACCACCCCATCCTTGACTTCTGGCAAGCACTAGTCTGTTCTCCATTCCTATAATTTTGTCATTTCAGGAATGTTGTATAAATAGAATCATACAGTATGTAACCTTTGGAAATGGCTTTTTTCACTCAGCATAATTCCTCAAGATTCTTCTAATTTGTTGTGTATATCAATAGCTCATTCCTTTTTATTGCTGAGTAGTAGTCCTTGGTATGGATGTACCCAGTTTGTTAACCATTTACCTGTTGAAGGATTTCTGGGTTATTCCCAGCTTTTGGCTGTTATAACATTCATGGCCAGGTTTTTGAGCAACCATAAATTTTTATTTCTCTGCAACAGATGTCAAGAGTGCAATTGTTGTTATGGTTAGTTGCAGGTTTAGTTCTTTAAGAAACTGCTAAAGTGTCTTCCTGATTAGCTATACTGTTTTACATTTTTCCCATAATGTCTGAGTACAATTTCTCTTCATTCTTGCCAGCAATTTGAGGTTGTTGCTATTTTTTTATTTTAGCCATTCTGATAGGTAGGCAGTACTGTCTCATTGTGGTTTCAATCTGCGTATCCCTAATGGCTGATGATGTTGAACATCTTCTATGTGCTAGTTTCCATCTGTATATCCTCTTTGGTGAAAAGTCTCTTAATGTCTTTTGCCCATTTCCTAATTGGATTGTTTATTTTTTATACTATTAAGTTTTGAGGGTTTTTTTTTTCTGTGTATATTCTAAATACTAGTCTTTGTTCACATATGTGGCTTGCAGTATTGTCTCCCAGTCTGTAGCTTGCCTTTTCATCCTATTCACAGGATCTTTTGCAGAACGAAAGTTTTGTATTTTTATGAAGTCCAGTTTATCAATTGTTCTTTTTGTGGATTGTGCTTTTAGTGTCAAGTCTAAGAACTTTTTGCCCTACACTATATCCTGAAAAGTTTCTCCTATTTTTTCCTGAAAGGTTTATAGTTTTACGTTTCAAGTCCATAATTCATTTTGAGCTAATTTTTTATAAAGTGAATGATATTCTTCCAAATTTTTTTCCTGTATATTACTACTCTTAATAGATACTTAGTTCATTTTTATATGACTAGTAGTTTTAAGATGGAGTAACTAATTGAATGATCTTATTGGTCTTCATTTGGGGTGTTAGTTCTTTGAATGTCACTTTAGTACTAAAAAGTGCCAAATTAATAGTTTAGAGTGATCAATGGCCCATGTTTGTGATAAAGGATATATGGCTGGCTATGCCTCTAAGGTAATGAATCAGTTCAATAGTTATTTACTGAATGCCTACTATATTCTGGGCCCTAATATGGGCATTGGCATAGGACCTATTTCCTTGAGAGCTAACAGTGCGATGAGGAGTTAGAGACAAAACCATTCATTTCAATGTACTGTGTTGAGTGTTGGGAGTCAGTTCAGTATGTTGGTGAAGAACCCAGACTCTGGATTCCATCAACGTGGATTAGAGCCCTGGCTCTCCCTCCTGCCATCTGGGTAAGACAACCTCACTAGTCCTTAATTTCCTTATTAATCTGTACATTATAAGTTTGTCATGAAGATTGGGTAATACACGTAAAGCTCTTGGCCTAAGTGCCTGGCACAGAGTAAGCACTCAGTAAATACTTGCTGCTGTGGTGATGGTAGAGGAGGAGGTGGAGGTAGTTGGGAGAAGAGGAGATATTGATCAATGTAGGCAAAGGACATTGCTGTAGTAGAGAGAGAGGCACTTATCCCAGAGGAGAATACTCCTGGACTGAATCTTAAAGAATGACAGAGTGTCTTAGAAAAAGAAAGAACATGAACAAAGGTACAGAAGCAGGAAAGGTTGTGAATGTGTAATCTGGTATTAATAGGACTTGATGTAGGAGTTGGAAAGTGATAGGAGTAGATGAGGCTGGAGAGGTAGTCAAGGGCCAAGTCATGGAAGGCACTGGACTTTTTTCTAAGTAAAAGGAAGACGTTGAAGAGTTTAATGGAAGAGCATGCATGGTCAGATTTTTCTAGCCAGCTCGCTCTGCAGAGTGAGAATGCTTTGAAGTGGAAGGAGGAACTGGAGCAAGCTCTTTCATAGTTCAGTTCATGGATGAAGGCCAGAACCAGGGCTGTAGCAATTGAGACTGCAATATCATTCTTGTACTTATTTTCTATATAATAAGCTCAGGTCCAGTCCAGGGCTTCTGTTGGAGAACCAGGCTAGACTCAGGTTGTAGGGTTTATGAGAATGGAAGTCTTGTCCATGAGGACTCTAAGAAACCCTATCCATGAGTGGCTATATAGTTCCTCTGTCTCAGGTGACTGTGATTCAATAGTCCCTTCTATTCCTCTAGGCTAGATATGATTTCTTGTGACCACCTAAGTAAAACATATCCACCTAATGTGAAACTCATGATCTTTTTATTTCTTTTTAGTTAAGGCACAAAAGTGGAAGAAAGTGAAAGAAGAGTGAATAAAGTGATAAAGTGAAGGAAAAAAATTAATAGGCAGTAGATCTAAGAAAAATGAATTTTATTCTAACTTAAATTTTACTAAAATCTTAACTTTATTTTCATCTATTTTCCCTCCTTATTTATGAAGGTTTAAAAATGTTAATCATAGTTTTCCTTTTGAATAGGCTAACAGGTAAACAACAACAAAAAAAAGAGAATTTAGTTCTGTCATAGTCACTATTTTATACCCTTCTGTGCCCTTGTGTTTGCTACTGTGGGAGATGGACTTCCAATTGGTCAAATTCCCCACAGTGCACACCCTGTGCTAAGGAGCTGCACTCAGTTTGTAGACTCTGTTTGAAAGCACAACTTGTTAAAGATAGGAAAAGAGTAAATGTTTTTGCATATTTTAAAGGATAGTGCTATTTCTGTTTGTATGTATATATGTCATACACATATAATTGTACCCATTTAGAGGGTACAATTTAATTGTTGTTCGTTTCTTTAACAGGGAAAAAAGGATGTGACCCAGATATTTAACAACATCCTGAGAAGACAGATAGGCACTCGGAGTCCTACTGTGGAGTACATTAGTGCTCATCCTCATATCCTGTTTATGCTCCTCAAAGGGTAGGTGCATGGCTTCCTTTCAAGTATGTTTGAATTTCAAATAGTTCTTAAAGATACATAGCATTAGCCTCATTTGAGATATGGTCGGTTCCCTTTTGGAATGGCAGTAAAGGTATTTGCCATGCTTGCGGTTAGCCCTCCAAAGCTCTGTCTCTGTGATTACTTAGGCTGCAGCAAAATCCTTTCTTTGCACCTTAATGTTTCTAAATGTTATGTTTCCATTTACTGCCCCTCTTTCCTCCACTTTTCTGCTGTCTCTGTCTCTCCCTATTACAGTATTGCTTGTGCTTCCCAATCAGCCCTAGTCCTAGTTACACTTTTTCTGCTTGCATGAGGCTGACTCCCCTCTCTACACACACATTCTGGTTCTGAGAACTTAAATTTAGGTATAAGAGTTTTTCCAGTAGCTGGCATCTGCCAAGGGGATGTGCTTCTACATGGAGATAGACTAAATATTACCGAATGTACATGGGGCTATACGGAAGGTATATAACTGAAGTCAAATAGATAATAGAAATAGAATCCCTGATTATTATTTTTTCTGTATACTCATTTACAAATGTTTCTTGGGAATTTTGAGGCTGCTAAGTCCTAAAGACTGAAGACCTGGGTGTAGCAAGGCTTGGGGACAGCAGACTGTCTTCTTCCTCCTCCACCATCTCAAAACAGCATGACTCTTTTTATTTTATTGTATTCCTGTTTTCAATTCTGTTCCATACCTAGTCCATCTCACCTGTAATCCAATTTCTCTCGTACATTTTTAAACATTTAATTGTATTAAAATAATACATAACACATAGTTTAAAAATCAGCTACATCAACGAGCAGCAGCTCTTTGCCTCTTCCTTCTCCATTTTTTAATCCTATTGCCCAAAGACAACCACTTTCATCTTTTTTTATTTGTTCATTTGTTTATCATTATTTGTTTATTTTTATTTTTTTTTTTGAGACAGAGTCTCACTCTTTCACCCTGGGTAGAGTGCAGTGGTGTCATCATAGCTCACTGCAACCTCAAACTCCTGGGCTCAAGTGATTCTCCTGCCTCAGCCTCCCCAGTAGCTGGGACTACAGGCACGCGCCACAACGCCTGGCTAATTTTACTATTTTTAGTAGAGACGGGGTCTCAGTCTTGCTCAGGCTGGTCTCGAACTCCTGAGCTTAAGCAATCTTCCTGCCTTGCCCTCCCAGAGTGGTAGGATTACAGGTGTGAGCTACCGTGCCTGGCGTGTTCATTATTTTTTTTATCATACATTTACCTCTTTGTTAAAAATAATGGGCTTATACTAGTTTTTTCATTTATCAATTTTAAACAATATCTTTGACAAGATTAACTAGATGATAATTTAGTTTTTTTACTACCACTATTACTCCATTTCCTTCCCCTTATCATCCCATTTATTATAATTTTAAATTTTATTAATAATTACATTTAGACATCAACAAAATAGCTTGTGGTAACTTGCCTGCTTTCTGGTGCAACAAGAGATGTCAGGCCCAACTTGTATGTTTTCTACTAATTTCTTTTTAAAAAAGAATGGTTCTTAGAGACTACAATCTAGATACTAGGAGTGCTCACTGACATTTAATTATTATTGCTTCTAGGCTATTGAGTGGACAAGATTAACTCATTATTTTTAAAGTAAGCAAATGTTTCTGGATTAGAAACAAACTTTCTTGACTATATTGAGGAGGACAAGTATTTTTTGAATAACATTTTACAAAAGTTTTCCAAATACTTCCTAAAGTTGTTCACTTCCAGCAATAATAACAAAAGTCATTTTTTCCCCTTAAATAACGTAATCTTTGTTCTTAAGTTGAGATGTTCTTGCACAAGATCTTTCTTCCAGCTATTTTCTGTGTAACTACTATAGCCCACCACTAGCTGAGACAAGTGCTCTTACATTTTGGTTTTCATTAAATTTGGAAAAGATCTTTTGGTATGCTGCCATTATTTGAATGAGCATGCACGTATAGTGGCATGCCTTCTCCATATTGACACAGTTAATTACGGTCCAGCCTATGTGATCCAAACTACAAATCAGGAGGGAAGATTCAGTTCTATAAAATAGTGATTTGGCATTCATCAGGTTAACCTTTATTGGGGACCTGCCATAGGTCATTGTTGGGAACACTTATTACTAAATAATGAAGAATGTGGAGTATTTCTTTATATATTGACAGTAAGCAATAACATATGAAAAGTCAATATCCTAGAGGGTAGTCATATTGAAGTGATATATGTGAATTATATATCCCTAAAAAGGATACTGAGGAAAATTAGGATTCCCTATATATCCTGGTGTATTTCTAACTTTAAGAAATTGTTGTCTCAGAGAATGACAAATGTCAAACTACTGGGATGAAATGACAAGTGTGTTGACCCAGAGGAGTATTTTAAAAATGTTCTCTTGGTTCTCAAGAATAAATTGTCAGTGCATCACAGATGGTTTCAATAAACTTCACCAAATGAAAGGAAAAAGAGAACTAATTATACCCAAAAGTTAGAGTGGAAATTTTTTATAGATGGTCTTAGTTTGGAAATTGAATTAAGAAATGAGAAAACATTGGCTGGAGATCCTACATCTTCTCTGTAAGCCAGAGTTTGACTCTTATTAGAGTCTTCTAGTACTAAGAAATTTAGTCAGAGTTTGAGGTTCATTAAATTCATTGTATGTCTACTTTGTGAAAAACGTTATGCTAGGCACTCTTTGGACATTAGGGTGAGGATGGGAGAAAGTAACAAAAAGTAAGACATAGACACCAAATGGAGGTGGGGGTAGGGGAGGAGAGGAGAAGGTAACAGGATAAGTAACATATATCCCCAGCAATTAAGTTGTTTGTAATGAGGTGAGGAAGACAGATCTATAACAACTTACTGTGATATAATAATATAGTATCTGAAAAAAGCTAAAGTAGGAGTGTGAAGGAAGGAGAAAATAATCCCGAATGGTGAGTGATTAAGAAAGACTTCAAGGAGGAGGTAGGTGGCATTTGAACTAAGCCTTGAAAGATGAGGGAGAGTCTTAGCGGTGGAAACTTAAGGAAAGGTCATTCCAGTTGAGGGAATGGTATACTCCAGGGAATTGGAGAATATGATGGGAGATGAAACTGAAAAGGTAAGTTTGGGGCCAAATTATCAAAGTCCACAGGTATCTTACAGTAAGTAAGGATTTTAATGGTCTGACCTTTAGGTTTTTTTCTCTAGGCCAACCACCTTTATTTTATACTCTCTTGAGTACTCTATCAATAAATGACAGTGTTTTTCTCCTTCACATATCATAAAATATACTCTTCTTTACAGCATCTTTAACAATACCCTACCTTGTAACTCTTCTCTGTGTGCCTGTAGGCCTATTTTCAAATTCTCAGATAAGAGAAATTACTAGCACTATAAATTGGCATACTTTGTATTCTATAAAGAATCATGTCTATCTGAATATATTACCATTTAATGTTATTATGAGTTATTCAGGGAATACTCAAATAGTATTTACAAATATCATTTAGCATAAACATGACAGAATAAATACCACCCTGGTACCTTTGTTTGCTATTTTTCCTACTATATTTGTAAATTTGATATTGCAAAGTAGCCTGTTTCCTAAATTGTAAAAATGATATTTTATCCTTGAATCTGCATTTCATGAAAATTCTATAATCTTATAAAGAATATGGTACATAATTTTTTACTATTCAACAAAATATTGCTAATGGTGAGTAATAAAATGTCTTGAAGTTTTATGTAAAAGTGGTTTGGTTTTGGTTTCAGATGTTAGATTTTTCTCATCCTTTTTAATATTATGTATGGTCTTTTTGTTTTAAAAGAATTTATTGGAATTTTTCTTATTTTCAGAATTCATGGTAAATTTGAAAGATCACATAGGTCCTTTGTGGATGTCATTTTTCCTCTATTCTCAAAGAACATTTTAGGAAAGCATTTTCGAAGAACTGAGATATTTGAAGTTATTTTTTTCAATGGACTTTGTACTAGTACCATGAAAACTAGTATTGTATTCAATTGAAATGCTAAATGATATCTCTAAAAATTTGGTCAGATTTATTTTTTTTACCCTATACTCACATCCCAGTGTTTTACAACTATATCTTTATTTGTTCTGTTCTTACCATATTTGCCACACAATTGTCAACTATATCATTTCAGTACAGGGTTTGTCTTACTTGGGCTAAGTATTGTTCATTTTCTTAAAATCTTATTACACACTGGCATGTAACTCAGACCTAGATTTATTTAGATGTTGAATTTGACATCGAGAAGTTGTTGTTAAATTAAAAGTGGAACTGATGTAGTATGCCAGTCCCGAATTACTTCTAAAAGTAGATATTGTGTTTTTCTAGTTTAGTTTTTGCTGTGAGCCATAATTCCACTTCATGATTTCAGTGAGTCAGTCAGTTGGCAGCTACCTTTTTCCTGAACTCCAAATGGGTATATTATACTGCCAAGGAGACATTTCTACTTAGATATCAGCCATCTCAAAGCTAACATGGTCACCAACAAACTCTTAATTTCTTCACCGGTCTGTTCCTAATAAATGGCACCACCATCCACCCAGTTATTCAAGCCAAAAACATAGTAATCACTCTTCCATCTTCAGTGTCCAGATTTATTTCCCACCCTACCCCACTACATCATCACACAGTCTCCACCGTCTGCCCACAGTCCTCTGTTCTGCTGCTGCCACCCGGGCCGTGCCGCCATCATCTCTCCTGGGCTTCTGCTCCTCCTCCTACCTGGTCTTCCAGCTTCCACTCCAGCTCCCCAGCCCATTCCTGGTTGTTTTACAATATATTCTCCACAGGTAGTGAGAGTGATCTTTTTAAAGCGTAAGTTAGGCCGTGTTAATTTCTTGCTTTATTCCCATCACAGTTAAAATGAAGCCAAACTGCTTACCTTGCCTTACAAAGCTGTGTGTGATCCAGTCCCTGCCCCCTCTCCACTCCTGCCTCATTTCACACCACTCACTACTCTTCCCCTACATGGCAATCACACTGACCTTCTCCTCTTCCACCTCACCAAGCTTGTGCTTGCCTCAGAGCCTTTGCACAGTTAGTTGCCTTTGCCTGGAATGCTTTGCCCCTTCCCTTCAATCTAACATAAAGGAAAGTAGGTAATCACTCACACAAAATTAAGTAGTGACGTTCTGTATTATCGCCTGCCTTATTGTCTTCAGTTTCAGCAGCACTTCTCAGTATATGGAATTATTAAGGGCATTAAATATGAAATGTCCTGTTTTGAATGAAAAGTTTAGTTTATTATCTCTCGAACAAGAAGCAGTAAAATTAATCAAAGTATGTGCCTAAACTATTTACACAGTTTTGCCATCTTAATGGTAGCTTGTTTATGCCAGCAGCAAAGAAGAACTGTAGAGAGCAAGTGGCAATGAAATCATGAAAGGCGTTTTCCACAGCTTGTTGAGAATTGAATATTTTTCCTTGCAAGGCAAGAAGTGGTCCAAAGCCTGGAAGAAGTGGTGGTCAGTTGGTGCAAGGTCTGATAAATACGATGGATGACAGAGAGTTTCCAAGTCCAGCGTTTTTAGTTTTAGCAGCATTGTTTGTGTGACATGTGGTCATGTGTTGTCTTGCAAGAGGATTGGTCTGTCTCTATTGACCACTCGCGGCTGCTTAATCACAAGCATCCTCATCATTTTGTCCATTTGGTTGCAGTAGACATCTGCTGTAATCGATTGACCAGATTTCATGAAGCTGTAGTGGATAATATCAGCGCTGGACCACCAAACAGACGCCATTAGCTTTTTTTGATGAATATTCAGTTTTGGACCATGTTTCAGCACTTCATCTTTATCCAACCATTGTGCCGAACGCTTATGATTGTCAAAAAGAATCCATTTTTCATTATATGTTACAATATGTGTAGAAATGGTTTGCCTTTATGTTGTGACAGCAAAGAAAGGCAAGCTTCTAGACGAAGTGTCAAAGTGCAACATCAGAGATATCAACTGTCAAACTTAGTACTTAAGGAAATCAGACATTTCATACTTAATAACCTTAATACCTTTTCGTTGTTTACATTCTTCATCCTCCTCCCCTCCAGACACACTCTCACTAAGATATGACAGCAGTGACCTTGTCATGTTTATTGTTGTACCCCCAGCATCTGGGATAGTGCCAGGCACATAGTAGCTCTTCAATGGGTATTGAATGAATCGTGTGAATCGTGTTTGAATGAACTGGGACAAATGATGTCTCTGTTTCCGTTAACAGCAGCATTGAAATGGTTCTTTTGATGCCATTAATATTATTTTGTTAACAGGATAACAGAGTTTTCTATTTCTCTCTTGTTTATGCTTTAGATATGAAGCCCCACAGATTGCCTTACGTTGTGGGATTATGCTGAGAGAATGTATTCGACATGAACCACTTGCCAAAATCATCCTCTTTTCTAATCAATTCAGAGATTTCTTTAAGTATGTGGAGTTGTCAACATTTGATATTGCTTCAGATGCCTTTGCTACTTTTAAGGTAATTTTTTTTTTCTGAATCAGCTAGGTCATTTAGTTAAAATTAGTTGGCTTCTGAAAGGCAATTTAATTTTACAAAGCAAAAACTTTTATTCCTTAGGTCTGAGCATAGCCAACCATGTATGATGTATAATTGTAAGAGGCATTTGTAAATAGAATACAATCTATGAGGCCAATCTGTCACATCGTGGGAAAATAACTTAAAATACTTGTCACAAGCTCATATGGAATAAATTGTAATACATACAGTGAAATGACAAAAGGAACGTGTAGTACTTTGTGTATAGCGTGCTGTCATTTTTGTTAAAAATAGATTAAAGGATGTAAGTTTCCACTTAAGGTGCATATGCACTGAATACCTCCGTAGGGATATGTAGGAAATAGCAATAGTGGTTACTTCCAGGGAAAGGAATTGAGTAGTGAAGGGAGATGGAGAATTAACATCTTGGAATATGAAGGACATCACATTATTTTATCAGTGTGATTTTTAAGTTTCCACACGGTGAAAAAAATATTAATAAATTATGTTGTAGTTTTTTCATACTTACCTATGTTTTTAATCATTATCTACTATTTTATCATTAATTTATCTACTTTGTCATTATGTGGGAAATAGTAGGATTCACATTGTTGTGTAAGCAATTACCAGAACTTTTTTATCGTGTAAAACTCAAACTCTGTCTCTATACCCATTGAACAATTTCCCATTTCCCCCTTCCTCCAGCCTCTGGCAACCATTGTACTTTCTGTTTCTATGTGTTTTATCATCAAAAAGATGTTCAGAGAGTGTATCAGAAAATAGCGTAGCTAATTTGCAAACAAAAATACCAGAACTTATACATCCAATGAGTGATGTTACCTTTGAGGTTTCTATTTTAGAGAATCATTTATGTATACATGTGAGTCTGCCATTATTTAGTATATTTTGAAATTGGTATCAGTATCTATGACATGTTCATTTTTCTCTTCTTTTTTTTTTTTGGCGTGAGAGTGTCTCACTCAGGCTGGAGTGCAATGACATGATCATAGCTCACTATAACCTAGAATTCCTGGGTTCAAGTGATCCTCCTGCCTCAGCCTCCCAAATAGCTGGGACTATAGGCATGCACCACTGTGCCCGGCTAATTTTTTTACTTTGTGTAGAGTTAAGGTCTCCCTATATAGCCCAGGCTGGTCTCGAACTCCTGGCCTTAAGCAGCCTTCCCTCCTAGGCTTCCCAAAGTGTTGGGATTACAGGCATGAGCCACCATGCCCAGCCTATATGTTCATTTTTCAATAATGGCGAATCTTTATCTTTCAATGGCAGATAGAATTTTGAAAACAAAAAGCTATTAAAATTCAGGTTAGTGTGTAAAGTGGATGGTCAAGTTAGCTAGAACTTTTTTGTTGGGGAGGGGATAATATAATAATAATTATAATGATAAAAATAAATTTTAAGATGACTAAAATAGAGTCTGATTTTCTTCAGTGTCTACCAGATTGGCTCTGAAGGCCATTTTAGAAGAGGAATTCCAAAAATATTATAAGCTGATGATGTGACAACATCATTGAAAAAAATAGGTTTTTAGGTCAAATATAAAGAAGATAAGATTCATTGAAATGTATATATATATTCAGAGTCATTTCTTTAAGAGTAGTTTTGCAATTTAATTATTCCATTTATATAATTCTAAATTTACTTCTACTTTTTTTCAGGGTGTAGACATATACCCTTTTTTAAAAAACAATTTTTACTTAATTATAACCCGTGTACGACTATTTTTTACATTATCTTAAATACACATTTCAACAATATTGATATAGTTCATATACTAATATTAATATATGCTCTGATCTTATTACTTTTATGAGCAGAGTTTGAAAGTTGCTCATGACTTGGATGATATTTCTTTTTAAATAGCTCTCCAGAAGTGGAAAAAGGGGAAAGCAGTGGTTTGCTGTGCCGATCATCTGCAGATAGAATTTACCCAGCCCGTCTGCGAAGGTGCCTTAAATCTGTTGAAAGGCGTCTGAGAGCAGATGGTGGCAGGCAGTGCGAGAGAGTGTCAGGAGCAGAAAGAGTGGATAAAGGGCCAGAGATGTGCGTGGAGCAGAAGGAAGGGGGGCCTAAGGAGAGGAAGGAAGCCTAGCGGAGGGAAAGGGGTGGGCGCGGTCCCTGGAGGCAGGGCCTGCAGGCTGGGTGGTGAGAGGGGCTTGCTGGGATGGAGAAGATGGGGCTCTGCCCTGAGCGAGCCTGGTTGAGGAGGACGCAAGTCTGGGCAACTGCCTGGGACACAGTCTAGAAAGGCAGCCAAGACATCCCTGGAGATAAAACGAGCTGAGGAAGATGGAATTGATGAGAACTCCTGTCAGGGAGAATGCTATCTGATGATAATGGGAATATGTGGAAGCCGCTTGGGGTGGGCCAGGGCTAGACTCCATGGCATGCTTAAGCAACAGCAGCCGGTTGTTACGGGGCGAGCCCAGTTAATTGTGGCACTTTTGTGGTCACAAACTTTGGGGCGTGCAGGTTTGGGACCAGCACTGAGCTGCTGAGACGACAGAGGATAGGAGCTGCAGCGCCATCACCTCCCCAAAGCCACAGCCAAGCCTGCAATAAACATGGCACAGGGAGCATCTGGGCTTGGGGGGAGTGGTCACAGCCTGCTCAGGTGTCCCACATGTCTCCATCCAGCCTGCCAGCCCAGATCCTCTCTGAGGAAAGAGGGAGGAGAGGAAGAGCCCACGCGAGAAGTCTGGGGTGGACAGAAAAGAGAAGGGAAGAAGGGGATTTAAAGACAGGGGAGCAGGAAGAAGGCGAAGACGGGCAGTAAGGAAACATCTAAAGAGAACAGCAGGGGGAGGGAAGGAGGGAAAAGAGAGTGAGGAAAGGCTTGGGAACAAACTCTGAGGAGAGGCGGCTGGTAGAGTGAGGGCAGCAAACATGGCTCTGTGCTCAGGGTGCTGTGAGATCCCAGAGCCACCCAGAGCCACCTGGCAAAACAGAAGTTGTGCAGCAGCTACAGATGAACCACAGAAAGGGTAGATATAGGGCACATGGTGAGATGGGCCTCAGTTGCATCAAGTATGAAGAATGCATTCAATACAGACATGATCCCATTTCTTCCTAGCGGAATGTCTGTGTTTCAACAGCTAAGGAGGTGTTTTCTAATAATAGAGACTGTAGTCCCATTTTTTTCCCCTCTTCTATCAGATGGCTCTTTGCTGTCATGGAAACAAGTTCCTATTTTAAAAAACCATAGTAAGACTTCACATAATTATAAACATATTAATAGAATAAACTCTAATGGAGGGGAAAAGCAAATACTTAATGAATATGTATTTTTGAAAATTTCCCCAAAGGTTTTTCAATGTTTAATAGAATAAAACATACTTGATAATAATTTCTTGCTATCATATATTCAGCCCAATTTACTTTTCAACAATATTGAATTATAAAAATAAAACATGATGTTTTGATCTGTACTTCAGCCAATTTTCCATTGAATTTAAGTGAATCCTTTAAAAATCTAAGTAACCATAAAAAGTTTTCTAGTATGCTGCCAGTATTGGAAATACCAGTTTTCTATATTTTACCCAGATTCTTAAGGTTAATATAATGTAACAATGACCAGAAATCACTGTTTTTTGTTTTGTTTTGTTTTGTTTTTAAGTGGCTTGTTTCAAAGGGTTTAGTTTATTTGTTTAGTTGGTTGGCTTGGCTATATTTTGGCTCTGGCTTTTTGGTTTTTTTGACCTTAGACTCATCATTTTTGTTTTGAGCTCCAGGGTGACTGTTGCCCAGTTTAATCATTAACATTTTAACATTGTTAGTTTATATTTTTGCCATGGTATTTGTCTTACTCTTTCCTAGAAAAGATTCCTTATAACCATAATCTCTTTCATTCCTTCCTCTAAAAATCTTCATAATGGAATTGGTTTAAATTCCATATCTCTCTGCCACCTGATCAGCTATATGTCCTTGAGCAAGTTAGTTGACCTTTGAGTTTCAGTTTCGTCTGTGAAATGAAGAAAATAATCCCTTCCTTGCAGAGTTGTGAAGATCAGAAATAACATTTGTCAAGTGCTCGGCACACTCCCCAGCACATAGGAAGCCCTTGATAAATCGGGTGTCTCCTATCCCTGTGATCGAACTTCTCTGTCACCCCACCCCAAGTTTCTTCTGAGCAGAATTCACCAAAATATGAATATCACATTTTTTAACATAATACTTACACTATGCAAAACTTAACCCTGTCAAAACAGAATTGTTAGGAGGTAAAATGAAAGAATACACTATTTCAGATAATGCTTTAAAATTTGAATGTTATTTTCCTTTTCAGTTTTCTGCTTTTTTCTTCTTGGGTAGGATATTAGCTAGTTTTTTGTAGGGTTTCTTTTCACATAGTTATATGATCTATAATAATGCAACAATTATATTTATCTATGTATCATGTATATGTAAGTGTGTGTATATATATGTATGGTGTAATTCTTTCAGTTTTATTCGTACATATATTATGTGCACAAATTTGAAGGTGTATACAATCAAGTGTAAATGGGTGTGTGTGTGTGAGTGCACACCATTTATTGGCTATATCCATCATATGCATGCTAGAGGAATTCTACCCTACCATATTATTTTTTCATATTATTGGATTTTTAAGTTATTTCAAGTTTTTTTCCCTTTGGAATTTGAAAGTTCTGGTTCTAAGAGAACTCTCCCTCCTGATCCCTCTTTCCTTGGGATAACACTAATCTATAACTTAGTGCTCTGTTTGTTGCGGTGGCTGCTTGTGTTAGGCCTGCAGCTGTGGGCGAGCCCAGGCCTCGCTTTCAAGGCTGACGATTGTAGCAGGTGAAGAACTCCCACGGGTGCAGCAATCCAGTGTCTGCTGCAGCCCAGAAAGAGCACTCCTACCCTGGGTCAGCTCAGAAAACCCCTGATATTGCTCAGAGGGCTCCTACAAGGTTAGAGGAGGGGTGCTTAAAAACAAGGCACCAATAATACCCTCTTAAAAAAAGATTAGGGACCCCGGAGGATACTGTGAAACTACCTTACTCTCTCAGGGGTCTCCTGGTGCAGGAACTGGTTTGAATCAAGACCTCAGACAGGCCAGGAAGGGAGCTCTGGAGATGGTTTTCCCATGAAAAACTTAAGTTCCAGAACAGTACTGAGTGCTCTGCTCCCCTGGAAAAAAAAAAAAAAACACCAGGTTTCCACTGATAGGCCCAGTGGTAATCAGGTTGCCACAATGATAAGTAATAGAAAATTAAGAGCATGTCTCATTGGTTGTGAACTCAAAAATTATAGTGCACAACGCTTTAAATATTTTACTTTTTTAAAAAAAATTAAAATGGAAATAAGTGAGTTTTACCATTGTTGCTGCCTGCCTTTTCTCTGTGAGGTCATGCTTTTAGGAAATTTTAATTAAATATGTATTAAAGTATAAGAATTTATTTTGGAAAACTTTGAAATTCTTCTTATGTTTTTAATTAAATTCTGCATGGTACCTGGGCAGGCTATTTAGCCTCTAAGCACATAAAAGGGATTAAGTGAGGCTTGTTTTCTTTCAACATTAAGGTGAATTAAGGACATAATTTAGCTGTGAGTTGAAGACAGTCACATGTTCCTTCATGGTTTTGTTCGGTTTTCTGCAGGTTTGTATCTGCAATAAGATAGGGCTACTTGTATTTAACTTTGAAAGGATGCATTGTGCTACTCAGTGATTGCACAACACCTCCCAGCCCGTTAACCCCAGAGCAGCGCCATACTGATTTGACACTGCTAAATGTCATTCCTGTGCCTCCCAATATCCAAAGCCCCTACATTTTTACAAAAGGTTAAAATCATTGAAAAAGCTATTAAATTAACTTGTGAGAGAATGGTTTTCGGCCATTCAGAGTTCTTTTAAAAATAATTAGTTATTAATGACATTTGAAAAAGATCATCATAAACTTTACTCGAATATTTATTATAGCATAATTACAACGTAGAGTTTACGGCTTCAAGAAATATGCTATGAAGTCATTTCTTAGGTTCCATTTGTTTCACCAGTTAAATCATTTCTATCATACATCTAACAATCATATGAATTTAAAACTCTAGGTTTAACACTAGTTTTTTTTGTTTTTGTTTTCTGATAACATGAAACACACTTGTATTTTACATCTTAAACAAATGTAGGAATGGAAATTATTTTGTGGTGTAAATGAAAATGTCCTCCTGCAACTTTTATATGTCTATAAATCCTTAGGAGGAAAAGACAGATTTTTTTATATTTATTATCTATAATAATTTTCTGTCACTTGGTTGTTCTTTTTCTAGGATTTACTGACCAGACATAAAGTGTTGGTAGCAGAGTTCTTAGAACAAAATTATGACACTGTAAGTACAAATTATTTTTTAGACTTTACCTCTTTCTCCCTCCCTCCCTCTCCCTCTGTCTTAGATCTATGAGCAATTGCCCCTATTTATTGTCCACAAGAGAAATCAACCATTCTCAACCGTACTCCTGATTTGTCTGTTTACCTGGAAACCAGGTCATTAGGAAACTTTATGGAAAACTGAGAATGACAGGAGGGCAGGGCTTCTCCTGTTTCACATCTCTTCCTCTTGTGCTCTGAAGCTCCAAGAAACGACAAGCACCTGCTTGCTTTGATCTTGAGTTAAGAGGACACATGTTGCCCTTCAGAGGCAACACCAAAAATATTTCTGTCTTTCAGTTCCCTTCCCCAGCAATGAATCTAACTCATCTTTTGAGATTTGGCTGAACTGTCACTCTTCTAGGAAGCTTTCCCTAATCCCACCCTTCCCCAGACACACACAATCTCTCTCTCTCCCTTCCTCCCTCCTTCTCTCCCTCTCTGTCTCCTTCCTCCCCTCCCCCCTCACTTTTCACGTTGTATTATTATGGTGTGTCTGTGTCTTTCTGACTGGGCCTTGAGCTCCCCGAGAGGCAGGAATCTTCTCTGTAGAACACAGAGTTCACAGTGCAGTACAGACTTCAGAGTCTGCCTATTTGCTTGGCTTCAAGACCTGGCTACACCTCCTTCCCCATTGCGTGACCCTGGGCAAGTTACTGCACCTACCGCAAGATGAAGGTAGTAATAATACCTGCCTCATAGGGTTGTTGAGAGTAATTTGAGAAGACTTAAAAGTTTTTAGCACAGTAAGCACTCAATAGTAGCTTTATTATTATTACTTGTATTTGTAATACCTAACTCAGTGCCATACATTTATTGGTGTTCAACGAATGTTTAGTGAATAGATCCATCCAAGAGCAGCTATACTTTTGCTGAATATATAAGCAATAGAAATAGCATGATTAAAGTAGAACATAGCACAAACTGAGAAGCAAAACTTTACAAGATTTGTTCTAGTGTTGGTTCAAATGCTCTATTTTAGTGCCGTCTGATAGAAATACAGTGCAAGCCACAAATGAGAGCCACTGTTTAACTTAAAATTTTCTAATAAGCCATATAAAAAACTAAAAAGAAACAGATGAAATTAATATTAATAGTATACATCTATTTAACCAAGTATTAAAAATGTTGTTTTAATATACAATCAATGTAAAAAATGATTGCGCCATTTTACATTCTTTTTTCATGCTGAGTCTCCGAAATCTTGGTGTGTATTTTACACTTACAGCACATCTCGGTTTGGACTAGCCACATTCCAAGTGCTCAGTAGCCACGTGAGGCCCTCTATTGGACAGCACAGGTTGGGTTAGGACCCTGAGCAGTAACACTGTCTCATCCTTATCCTCACCATCAACCTGGTGGTAATAGCAGCAACAGCCAAAGTTATATTTTGCTGGGATTTTTGGCATTTGACATATGCTAGTTAATGTTACTACTTTGTATCCCTATCACCAAGCCTCGTGCCTGACATATAATAGCAGCAATGTGATCTGCTATGTTAAAGGAGCACTTAATTATTTATAACATTGATGCCCAAACCAGGAAGTTCTAAATGTTTATATATATGGTATGATAGTAGATTTTTTTACTTCATCCATTAAAAGCAAAAGACAATTTCATGTGTGTATATTTTTTGTAGTAGTAGTAGTAAGTAAATTAAGGTAAAGTATCTTCTTTATTGATTGAAATCTTTGGAATTGAATTACATTATATGTACTTACAAAAAGAAATGTATTTTTGATAATAACTTTATGACTTTGTGCCTTCCCAACAGTATGCAGTATAGGTAGAAAGTTGGGCACATAATAATCATATGGCCAGTGATAGCCAACAAATACTAGTAACAATCCCTAAGAAGTCTCTGAACCGTTTATACCCTTGACAAAACTTGCGATACACTCCTAGATGCTGGGAAGATGTGGAATACCCTACCTATCGGTAGTGTACTTCACATATCCAAATCATGAAAGTTTAACTGTGTCTCTTTTATTCATAAATAAAATAAATTTTATTTTTGGTTGTTGTCCTTCAATTTAAAATTAGCAATATAATCATAAAATCAAAAGTGATTTTTGTATCCTAAAGTTATCAAGAAAATATCCATGGAATCAACTGGAGTACTTTGATGTAAGTATAAAATGTGAAGGGAGAATAACTTTTTTATTGATACATAATAGTTATACATCTTTATGGGGGACATGAAATTTTTATACATGCATATAGTATACATGCATATAGGATATCTATCCCCTCAAACATTTATTTATTTGTGTTGGGAACATTCCAGATCTTCTCTTCTAGCTATTTTGAAACATACAATAAAGTATTGTTAACTGTGCCCATCCTGCTGTGCTATTGAACACTAGAACTTACTCTTTCTAACTGTATTTCTGTATCCTTTAACCAATCTCTCTTCATCCTCCCTTGTCACTACCCTTCCCATCCTCTGGTAATCATCATTCTACTGCAGGGAGAATAATCAATAATTTTTATTACCAGATACATCTAAAAGTTTCAAGATTAAAAGAAGGTAGTATAACTTTGAATTTAGGAAATGAGCTGTCAGTATACAGTTCGGTTGTTCAGTAACTACATATGCTAGATGGAATGTTAAGGAGAGATTCATTAGATGTTACAGTTATAATAAATGAAAAGAAAAGAAGGATAAGATAACATCTAGCAAAATCTGTAATTATCAACTAACTACTAATCTTTCCTGTAGAACGAATGAGGTAAATGTGTTATGCAATAATGCTTTTCATTCAGGGATAATACACAACAGTTTGAGAGCTAGTAAACTCATCCTCTTTGATTCCTTATTTACCTGATTTTATTCTTGCGTAACTTAGTGGTTTCGCAGACTGTGAACCTACTGCATTGGCCTGAATACTAGCTCTGAGAACTCATGTCCTCTCAGACATTTCACACTTCTTCAGTTTCATATTTCTTTAGCAATAGACCAAGAAACTGGAGCATATGATGTATGACTCTAAAATGATGAAACTGGCAGCTTAGGGAGTCATACCTTGTACCTGCATTTGCATTTCATAGTTATAATTAAAATAGATCACAAGGTTTGTCTGATAAATTTAATGATCCACAACATTCTCCTTGTGTTTCAGGACAGCATAATTAAGTCATTCACATAAAAGAGTGTAATTACTGTGACTTTAATGTGAGCTATATATTTTGATTTTTACTTTTTACTTTCTTAATTCTCTATTGATAACTATCGCCAGCGCACACAGCTTGGCCTTCTCACACACTTGAGAACACACCCCTCACACTCAGCTCCCTGAGGGCTGGGACTATTTTCCACCCTCCTCACTTCTGGAACGCTCTGTCCTGGCTACACTCGCTCCCCTTCTTTAGTGATCTCAGAGCATTGCCCACTCGTGGTGGGAGGTGGATGCTGAGCTTCCCCAGCTACTGGCACTCTGTGTTGAACCAAAGGGCCTGGGCCATGACCGATGACCACATTAGGAAACAAGAAGACCCATGCACCAGTGTCCCCAGCTTCTGGTGAGAGCAGAAGTGCTCCACAGAGGCCAGTTGGGATTAGCGATAATGCGATAAAGGTTGCCTCATTCCTCACCTGTTCACGCGATGAATTTGACAGTCTGATTCTTTATAGTTGCCAAGTGAAGCCCTAAGTGTATTTAATCTTTTCCCAAATTGTTCATGGGCCCATAGATACCAGCAAGGCTACATAAACAGATTTCTTTAAAATGACATAAAATGAGTTAGTTACCTTGCAACTTTTAATAGAAGTTTTATTCAAAAAGATTTATAGGGAGGGCTCAAAATTACTCCACTTTTCTACTCAATTTCTAATTTGCAGAGCTAAAATAAAGTAAGGAAAGATGTCTCTTATATCTCTTGACCTCCCTGTCCCCCAGTACGTTCACGTGTAAGGGGTGTGGAGAAATGGAGACACCTCCCTGTGGACAGTGGCGATCAGCCTGCGGTTAAGTGCAGAGACACAGAGCATGGTGGCTAGGCTGCATCTGGCCAGGGGCTGGGAATTTACTCCTGAAGAAGACAGCAGGTGAGCCTAGACACACAGAATACACTGCTGCTTTCACTCTCTAATGTTTTCTTTTCTTTTCATTAGATCTTTGAAGACTATGAGAAATTGCTTCAGTCTGAGAATTATGTGACTAAGAGACAATCTTTAAAGGTAATATTAAATTTCTTTAAATTAGAGTCCCCATAAGTTGGTATCTTGTTAGCAAATGGTTGGTCTATTAGTGGATGAGTAAATACAGAAAAATTAAAGTATCCTTTTCTTTTTTGTTAACTTGAGAAGTTTTATGTTATGACTGTACTTTATAGCAAAATAACATAAGTGTCCTGCCTCAATATGGGGAGTAATAATATGAATAATAAGTGCATAATAGAGTAGAATTTAGAATATTTTTGCTGAGAAAGAAAACCAGACCTAAGCTAACTTAAATCAAATCACAATTCTCTCCTAGGGGATATTTTACGGAGATGAAAAGAACTTAAGAGTAAAACAAGGATGAGAATTACTGTTTGTAAGAAGGCATCAGTGAGGCTCCTGTAATTATTTTTCAGTGTATCTTGAAACAGAATAGACAGAAAGAAATGATCTTATGTTTCTTACATATCTCTCTGTAAACTAGACTTGAGGCATGTTCTGCAGAGAAGAGGAAAAGGGAAGGACAGAATATGACACATGAAATGTAAAAGTTACAGTTTCCCTTAAAGTTAAGTCGTAAGCACAGTAATTGATAAATTATTAATATCTTTGAGTATAAAAACAGCTTTTTACTATAAAATGGTGTTCGTATAGTTGAAATGTTATGGGGCCTCCATTTGTGGGAAGCCTTTGTCTCCCAAATTTGTAACATATTTTCCTAAGGAATTTTTTCTTACCATATTTCCTTGCCAGGTCCCATTCCCTGAGCATTCTGGTCAGTCCGTGTTTCACTGTAGGTTGTTTTAAAGACTTCTACCACTTAACATGACACATTCAAATTATACTTACAACAAAGATTCTGAATATGAAACATGGTCATTCCCTAAAAATTAAAAGAATAATGTTTTAAAAAATCAACTACACGATGTGAGTTGTGAGTTGACTACACAATTGAATATACAAAACTTTGCTTTTCTGAGAAACTGCCAGGATTATACTGAAACAGAATGTGGAAAGAGGGTAAAAGATGATGTAACTAGCTAGAAAAGAAAATAAAGTCAACTCTTAATTACCCATAAACAGCTTAGTTGGATGAATTCTTGGGGAAGGAGGTATGAGGGAGGTAATAAGTAGAGCATTCCATTTAATCAACAAATACATGTTCATATTCCAGACATGCAGTGACAGCCAAGAACAGCTGGAGCTCACGTTCTGTTGCGGGAGCATAGACAATAGACAAACAGGCAAATAAATACATAATTTTCCTATGGTTTTAAGTACTAAAAAGAAAAGCAGCATGAGGGAGCAGAAAGCGATGACTGGGAGGATAGGTGTGTGCATGTATATAAAACCAAATGACATTTTTAAGAATTCCTTAAGTTGATCTTTGAGCAAAGATCTAAATCTGTGAAAAATTAAAATGACTCCGGATAAGGGTGTGTAAGTATGTGTGTGCATATAAAACCAAATGACATTTGCTGTTTGAGATTATGTCTCCTATGAAAAATGCCTGTGGAAGTGACAGCAAACCCAGCAGAGTAGGCCACTTGAATCTGCGAATGGCCTGCCCTCCGTCAGGGTAAATGTGTCTGGAAGAGGCCATTTGTCCAAGGGGAGGTGGGAGAGCTCCTGAGCGGGGGATGTGGGCTAGAGCTGCATCTCTGCCCTTCAGATCCTGCTCAGATATGCAAAAGAATGTTTTTGGCAGCTAATAAGCTTGACTGTTCCTAGTTAAGCAATTTGTATGATATTCCAGCTTGCTAAATATCACACTTGTATTATCTTTGCATGTCAGGATGATGGCATTCATAGAACAATGCATTCTGCTTCTAAATATCGGATACAATTTTAAGCTAAGGCAATAAATTCAATGTATTTTGTAACACATTTTTTGTCAATTTATGGTGCCCATGAGCTTGCGTTAGCCGCGACCTGCTTTCCCCTGTATTTGTGCAGTCACTGAAGAGGTCATGTTAGCGGAGAGGTCAGTTTTCAGCCAGTCATTCAACACTCTTTATTGAGTTTCCCCTTTGCATAGAAACCCACACGAGGAGAACCATTTAGGGAAAAGCCCATGGTGTGCTGTTCTCGATGCTGGAGCTTGTAGTGAGGAGACCACGCTGCGTGCAGAACTGACCTCCAGGCAAAGGCGATAAGGACCTCAGTGCTTTGTTCTTCCACGTGCAGAAAGCTTGCTAAGTAAGAGCAGATGAAGATAAGGACATATCCTGTTGCCGTAGCCATGTACCTAAAGAGTAGAATATTTTATTTGTGGAGGGCTCCACAAGGACAGCCAAAATGAGGGGAGCTTGCCCATGTTACAAGAAATAGTGGCCCTGGAAGGAAGGTGACAATGTTCTGAAGGGTCAGCATATAGGAAATTGCTCATAAATTTTCAAATATTTCCTCTTTTCAGTGAGAGTCTGTCAGATCCTGGACCAAAGTAGAGAGGGTCAATATGAACTTAGGTGACTAAACTAAATTAGGAGGAAGAAAGCTGAAGGGCTTTGGCTGGTGACAAGAACTTGTGACAGATTTTTTTTTTGTAATCAACTGTCTCCAGGACCTTAGGCAAAGTCTCAAAGCTGACAGTGTCTTTTTTACCCAAGCATCTCCCTTCTGCCCTCTTCCTGCTTTCTCTTTCTTGCTAGCCCATCATCCCCCTCCCGCCCACACACCCATCACCCTCATTCTCCTCTCTGGGAATCTTCAGCATCACCTGGTCCTGTTCCCCCACTAACAGTCATGAAGTAGTTTTAACAGAACCTTGCTCATGGCAAGAACTGTTGACATTTGTTAACTAAATCAAACTAAGTTCTATAAATATTCCTGGTCATTATCTCCAGAATTCACTCTCTGAAAGGGATTCATCGATTCTAAACGAATAATAGGGACTAGGGTATGAGTAGGACTTATTCCTACCAGGATGCATTTGCATTTAAAAATAGAAGCCTGTCAATCCAGTGAATGTGTGATCGGTACAATAGCTAACACAAATTTGACAGGGAGCAACGGGGAGTGAGGACTCCTTCCTCACCACCATTCAGCCTCCCTTCCCCTCGCACATGGTTCTCCAGCTGTAGACCTCCGTGCTTTTCCCAGTGACCTGGGCAAAAAACAGACCACGTTTGTATCTGGTACAGAAACTCTCCTTTTTAAACTCTCCCCTTTCAGACTGTTTGGTTCCCACCTACTTACAAACGCCCCAGACTACTCGAGGGGCATCTTTCCTGTGCTTCATTAATCCACCCAGACATACTGTATTGGCTGCCTAAAATCCTTTGCAGTCAGGTGTTTCACAAATATTTTATTGACAACGTGGTACAACTGAGCACTGATTGGACAGTGAAAAACACAACTGACCAAAGACAGATAAATTAGTATATCTAAGAATGCAAAAAGTGTCAGAATGGTTACTGAGGGAAGAGTTGGCTTTTTTAAATGTTAGATCATAGGCAGAGAGAGATGTTGCTAAAATGGTCTTGTATCATTCTGTTCAAGCAAACAAAACAGTAGATGACTGTGAAACGGGTTCATATTTAAACATTGAGCTTATTAAATTTTGTTTCCTCTTTTTTTTTTTTTTTTTTCTAGAAAACTGTTGTTCTGGGGAGCTCCACTGATACAATTTTGCTTTTTCCTTTTGGGAATTAGATCTGCAGTAGCAGTATATTCTATTTTGACACAACCACGTTTATATATATGGATTCTGTAATTTTTTTCATAGACGTTTCATAATTGTAGGAAGCGAGAGGTTAGAGTATTATTATAGTAAGCAACTTTGTATGTAATTAACTGTCTTAAGTACTAGGGTATTTTCTGATTCCAAAGTAGTTGCTACCTGCTGCCATTTGTTAATCGTATTCTAAATTTTTCTGAACCATCTTGCAGTGCTTAATTCCTGGTGTCAATAAAAATAATTAACAGAGAAATTCCTTTTTCTCATGTGACAGAGCTTAGGAATTTATTTCTTATCTTTTTCAGAGGCCTGGCATTTAATTACCAGCAAGAAAGATTATAATTCAAAAGAAACTTGGTGGAATTTTGGGGGGTTTTTTGGCTCTGGTCAATTTCATTAAAACACTAAGTTTTTAAAAAACTCATTTCCACTTGATGCATGGTTTTACTACGTACTATGAGGCATATAAAATGAAAAATTTAATGAAGTAAAGTATGATTTTTTCCATTTACTTGGAACAGTATTATAGTGCCTTGTATTATTATGGAATGCAGCATTTTGTCATTGTCAATGTTAATTAAAATAGACTAACATTTAATGGTTAAAAGATTCAGTGTTGTTAGGTGATTTAACACAATTAATTGTTTCAGAAAAGTTGTGAAATTATATTAGCAGAGAATAGATTAGGTAGAATTTATGTTTAGATATCACTAGATAATAAAGATTGAAGTGACTTAATCTGAAATTAACTTATAAATGTAACTTCAACAAATGTTTATTCAGAGAGTGTGTGTATAAATTTTAAGGGTAAGTTTTTTTAAATGAAATTTCCCTTTTGCTGAAATCTTTTAATATGTGTATATAATATACATGTATATATAGTATTTGACTCTTTCTCTCTCTCTATATATATATATATTTAAAAGTTAAGGAAGCCTCTTGTCAGCTTTACAACTCAAAAGCCATCCCTTTGAAATACATTTAGGAAGATAACACTCCTATTTCCTGTCACCAGGAGAATTTAACCTAGATGCCTTTCTCCAAGCTATCAGCATTTGCTTGTCAGAGATAAGAGAGGTTTTATTATACTAGAGAGATAAAAGCAATTAGCTAAGACAAATAGCTACCTCAATTGCCAGGTGAATTTAGGGTGAACTATGAAAGAGTGCACAGAAATAGTGCTGTCACGTCCTCTCATAGGGGACAGGTTACTCTTCATCTTGAGGACATATATATGTAATAGATTGTAGCCGCTTGGCTGTATAAAAAAGGTAGAATTTTATCTGTCTTTGTAACCTCTTTTTCATAGATTATCTATTGTGCTCTGGACATGCTTATTCAGTAATAAAACTGCTTTCTTTCTATTCTGCATTTTGTGGAGAGGACTCCGTGTTGGTAGGACTTTTATTTCCCCCAACAACATCCGTGCACATCGCACAGTTAGGTTGGAAGAGGATTCGCAACGCGCCCTTATGGAGCTTACACTCTAAATGGGCTCACGAATAACTCTGTACTGCAAGGCAAAGCAGATTCAACTGGGGAAAAGAGGAAAAACTTTCCTAAACACAACATCTCAGCTAGTCCTGAAAGGATGGGTAAGGTTCGGACAGGCAGAGATGAGGTGAAAGCATTTCTCAAAGATTTGGAGCAAGGAGAGTGAAGCCGCAGAGGCAGAAGAATGAGGAAGACTGAGGGAGAGCACCGAGGATGGGAAGCATGGAATTGGCTCCAGATCACAGAGGGCTCTGGGTGCCATCTTAAATTGTTTACTTTTTCCTAAATCCATGGGGATCTAGGGATTTGCTTGTCTGTTTATTCATTCACTTTATAAGTGGAACTAGTAACAAATACAGCAGATTTTCAGGAAGATTACTTTGGCATAATGTGCAGAATGGGTTGGGTTGGGTGGAAAATGGAGAAACCATTTTGCTGTCTCAGCAGTCCCGCTGAAAGGTAGCGAGGTTAAGTGAGAATACTGGCTGTAAAAATGGAATGAACCTTAAGTTGTGTACTTATTTGTTAACTAGATAAAAGATGCATCTCAGGTGAGGTGGTTGTGGTAGACAGCAGCCCTCGATTTGATGTGCTTTCTCCTCCCATCAGGATTTCTGTAACCAGGTAACGAGGCATGACTATCCTGAGGCCTACAGAAAAAGTCCAGTAAATAGGACAGTTGAAATCTAAGTGTATCTTCTATTTAACGTATAAAATCCTGTTAGGGTACATTTAAGCCACCTAGTTGCTAAAGCTTTAAGAATTTCGGCCATTACAGTGAGAACAAAAGTTTCTGAGATAGAGCAACACAAGACATTCAGCCGTGTTGCTAGAGGGTCTTTCTTCAGCTCTTCTCACCTTGGGTATTTTTATTTTGTTGTAGAGTAATGTTGCATTTTGGGAACTATTAGTTTGTCACCAGAATATATTTTGCTTTACTTTCTTATAGAAACTTGATGTACTCACTAAACATTATCGATTCAGGGTCAGTCATTTTTTTCTGGCTTTACATCAGGTTTTGAAATAAAAAGCAGAGAAAAGGTAAGAGTCATTTAACAGAAACCATCTTTACAGTAAACTGCTAGGGTACAGTTATTCAGGTAAGGGAAGTGTAATTATAGAGCTAGTTTTGTTATTCCTGTCCTACCTCAATGCCTATGGAACAGCACATCAGTGGGAAGCAAGATTATGAAAGTAAATGTCAAAAATAATACATTTATTTCTGGCTACCTTTAGGCGAACTGCAGCAGTGACTGGCCAAAAAAATACATTAAGCACTGACATTAGCAAAACTGTGTGAAAAGCTTAAAATAACTTCTTAACTACTGGATTTATGCCTGTGCTTTAAGATGCACTTAAGGACTTTCCAGTTTTTTTTTTTTTTTTTCAAGACGCAGTCTGGCTCTGTTGCCTGGGCTAGAGTGCCATGGCGTCAGCCGAGCTCACAGCAACCTCAGACTCCTGGGTTCAAGTGATTCTCCTGCCTCAGCCTCCCGAGTAGCTGGGACTCCAGCCATGTACCACCATGCCCAGCTAATTTTTTATATGTATATATATATTTTTAGTTGTCCAGATCATTTCTTTCTATTTTTTAGTAGAGACAGGGTCTCGCTCTTGCTCAGGCTGGTCTCGAACTCGCCTCGGCCTCCCAGAGTGCTAGGATTACAGGCGTGAGCCACCGCGCCCGGCCTCTCCAGTTTTTTTTCATGACGCCATTCTTGCTCACTGTTATATTTCATTTTTCAGTGAGAAGAAGTGAGTTGTGTTTTGAATAAGGTGACTGCGAGAGTATAGCTTTGATTCTGTTTTCCTGCAGCTGCTAGGTGAACTGATCCTGGACCGCCACAACTTTGCCGTTATGACGAAGTACATCAGCAAGCCAGAGAACCTGAAACTGATGATGAACCTCCTGCGGGATAAAAGTCCCAACATCCAGTTTGAAGCCTTTCATGTTTTTAAGGTAAAGTACAAGCTATGGAAGTAACATTGTAGGTATTTTTTTCCAGTTTCAAATGGCAAACTCCCTGCTTTTTACTCTTTTATGCTTAAGAGAAAATGAAATTAGGCAGTCTTTCTGTTTTGCATGATTTAGATGAAATTTCAGAGTTTTTTTTTTTTTTTTTTAACTGTGTCCCAGGCTTCTGTAAGAACAAAGTGATGAGTGGTGTGAAGATTAAAATCAAGAGCATCACTGAACTTCACCTTCCCCTCTAACCTGTTCCCTTAAAACTCCCTGGCCCCACTTTTTGTGTTCCCAATTCCTTCCTTAGTGAATGAAGGCTGTCCTTCCCTATAGCTTCTCCTGTTCCCCTGCCTCCCCTCCACCCCGCTCTGTTCCTAGAAGTGCAGACACCCCAGCTGGAATGCACGGGAGAGCCCAGAGTGGTGACAGGCAGAGAGAAAGGCTTTCCCCTCCGGGAAGGAAACCAAGGAGTATGGCTGGTGAAGTGAGGGCTCCTGTAGCCTGGGGTACAAAAATGGGACTCTGGGGTTAGAGGAAGGGACACTGGTCCCCCTGAGAAAGGAGACCCAGCAGCCTCAGAACCCTCTCACCATGAATAGCCAGTGCTTGATCACTTGCCCTGTGGCGCTGGCTGCAGAACCACACTCAGACCACGTCCTTCTCCAGCCCAAGCTGCTGGGCAGTGTGGCTGGTCTGCTGCAGAAACAAGCTCTCCAGGTTGCCTCTCACTGGTTCTCAGTACTTGGTTTCTCTTTTGGGCTGCAGGAGGGTCTCTGCTTTGCACATCTCCTGAAGATTTTCGTTGTTGTCAGCTTCCTCCACCCACTTCTGCAGCAGGGGCTGCAGCTTACACATGTTCTTGAAACCGAGCTGCAGAGCCTCAAAATGGCAGATGGTCATTTGGCTGAACACCCTCCCAGAGAGAACCCCCATGGCGAGCCCCACATTGGCCTGGGTGTATCTCAGGGTGATCCTCTTCTGCTTCAGGAGCTTGGCAAATTGCTTGAGTAGCCTCTCCAGCTTCATGGCGCCAGCAGGGCAGTGCAGGGCTTGGGGGAGCCCCCTTGGACTTGCCTTCCACCCTGGCTCCTGCCTCACCCCCAGGCTGAGAGGTCTTCAGGCCACCTTGGGGCACCAGCCCCACTCCAACCTGAGGTCCACAGCACACCATCCCCCCACAGAAATCATACTGCGGGGGGAACAGGGAATCCCCCACAGTTCAAAGCCTGGCGCAAGTCCTGGCCTGATTCCTGGCCCTCTGGGAAGGCCTTGGAAGCTTAGTGAGGTCTGAAAGTCAACCCAGCCTGCTTCCAGCCCTCCTGGCCCCTTGCCCCCACTGCTGGCAGGAGCAAGAAGGTGAAATGCGAAGCCAGAGGGAAAGGAAAGCGCCCCAAACCAGGGGCCTGGTAAAAATGCCCGTTTGTTTCTAAAAGGTTTGCTAACTAATCCACACCTCTAAATATTTTTACTTCTTTTACTGAGAAAACGTGTGATGTTATTTCTCAGAAGTTACTAAAACAATCAGTGATTGAGTTAGACCCCAAACCCTGAGTCTCAACCTCTAAATGCTTTGCGTTCATCTCTTTGGAGATGAACCATCTCTTTGGACCTTAAATGAGGCCTTGAAGAAACACCAAGTACCACTCACTTTATTAATGTTTTAGAAATATTACTTTTTACAATGCATTTCTCTATGATAGAAAAGTAGCCCCTCTAACATGTTTTTCTTTCTAATATTTTTTCTTTGATATAAGAATATTAAAATCACCTCCTAGAAATTTTACACAATAGATTTAAAAAAAGTAGATAGGTGGAAGAATTCTGATCTGTAATTCCATACTCCCAGCCTACCTATTATAAATAGTTTAGCACATTTTGTTTTCCTGTGCACATTGAGCATTTTTGTACAGCTGTATTCACGTTGTACAAACAATTGCTATCCCAGTTTTATCACTTGATGCTATACGATAGGTAAACATTTTCATTATTGCCATATATAGTTTTTAGAGCTAGTAGTTTTATCGGCATCATATTAATAGTTTGTCATCAGGTGTATTTCTTCTAATATACTTAAGTAGTCCTGTGTCATTGATATTTAGGTTATTTCCATTTTTCCTACTATAAGTAATGCTGCAATGGGCATTTTATGCATCTGACTAGCTTTTTCCATATTTAGGATTTTTTTCTTTTCTTTTCTTCTTCTTCTTCTTTTTTTTTTTTCGAGACAGAGTCTTGCTTTGTTGTCCAGGCTAGAGTGCAGTGGTATCATCAAACTCACTGCAACCTCATACTCCTGGGATCAAGTGATCCTCCTGCCTCAGCCTCCTGAGTAGCTGAGACTATAGGCATGTGCCACCATGCCCAACTAATTTTTCTATTTTTTGTAGAGATGGGGTGTCACTATGTTGTTCAGGCTGGTCTTGAACTCCTGGCCTCAAGAGATCCTCCTGCCTCAGCCTCCCAAAGTGCTAGGATTACAGGCGTGAGCTGCCATACACAGCCAGGATTATTTTCTTATAGTAAATATCTAGAGTAGTTATAAGAGTTCAGAGAGTTTCAGGATTTTTTGGTCTGTATAATGTATATTCAGGGATAAAATTTGTAAGTCTATAAATGGGAGACATGGTAGTTTATAAGGTAAAGTATTAAGGTAATTGCTGCTTTGAGAGGTAGAAAAATTTTAGTTGATCTTTCAGCCACCAGATATTTATTGTCTAAAAAGCCACTAGAGCAATTAAAATCCTGAATTAATTTATAAATTCCCTTCAATTTAATTTGAAATCTCAACAGGACTTTTCCTGGAACTTGATAAGCTGATTATAAAATTTTTATGGTAGAGCAATGGCCTAGGGTTATCTATGGCAGTTTTGAAGAGTGAGGTGGGGGAATCCACCCCACCAGACAGTAAGACTTGGTGTGGATTTCTAGTCAATAAAGACAACATTGTATTGGCTTAGAGAAAGATAACTAGAAGAACAAAACAGAGTAGAGGGCCAGAAATAAACCTATGTGAATATGAAACTTGATATTTGATAGTGGAGGAATTACAAATCAGTGAAGAAAGGATTAACTATTTAATAAATGGTTCTGTATAGAAAACCTTTCCTCCACTATACACAGAACTAAATTCTAGGTAAAGATATGCACTATGAAAAGCAAAATATTTTAACTTTTAGAAGAGAAAATAGGAGGCTGTCTTTATGATGTTGAGGTGGTAAGAATTCCTTTAAAAAAATAAAAATCACAAATCATAATAGAAAATACTAATAAGTGTGACTATATTAAAATTTAAAACTTCTGTTCACAAAAGACATTATAAGCAAAATGAAAAGATAGAAGGATAGAATGTGACACATGTAACTGACGAATCATTAAGAATAAGATCAACAGAAAAACAGGCAAAGGATAGTAGCTGGTAATTTATAGATGAGGAAAGCTGACTGGCCAATAAATAGGTGAAGATGCTCATCTTACTTGTAATCATGGAAAGGAACATTAAAGTATCAATGAGATATCACTTTATGTTCTTCATATTGGCAAAATTGTTTAAGTCTGACAATATCAAATTTTTGTAAGGTTGGAGAGCAGTGGGAACTCTCATATGCTGGATAAATTAATACAACCACTTTGGAGAACAGTTTAGCGAAACCAAGCATTGAAGGTGTGCATACCCTTAAACTCTGAAATCCATTTCTGGGCAATTTCCTAGAGCCATTCTTGGACATGTGCATAAAGAATCATGTTTAGTGAATCCTCACTTAATATCGTTCTTAGAAACTGACTTTAAGTGAAACAATGTGCAGTAAGCCCTTGAATAATGCCATTTTGTTATTATGTTGATGAGGGTAAAAATTGGTTTCTTATACATCATTTTGCTTAGAGTTGCAGTTTCCAAGAACCTATTGACAATAGGTGAGGACTCACTGTACAAAGATGTCTATTGCAACATTGTTTAAGTGGTGTAAAATAGAAAAAACAAATGGGCATCAATGGGAGACTGGGAAAATAAGTTGTGCGATATTCCTACAATAACATAAAATAATGGGTTAAAAAATAAACAGTGTTATATGGATCAGCGTGGCTAAATCTCAGAAACATTTTATTGAGTGGAAATAAGCAAATGATAAAAAGACGTAATTTACATAAAGTTTGAAAACATGTAAAACAATACTATGTGTGGATGCATATACGTATGCAGTTATAGTCTAAGAACATGCCTGGGGATGATAGACACCAAATTCAAGATAGCAGTCATCTCAGGAGAGGAGCAGGGAAGAGAATGAACAGTATCATGGAAAAGTGTCCAGCAGCCTTCAATTATATCAGTAATGTTTTATTTTATTAAAACATCCGAAGGCAAGTATGACGAAAATGTTAGATTTTGACAGAGCTGATGGTGGGAACATGAAGTGTGATATGTTATTCTCCGTACTCTTCCCTGTGTTGGAATTATTTCATAAAAAGTAAACAAATTGAATGAAACACAAATAGAATGCTGTAGGACTAGAAAATGCCTACACACTACGAAATGATAGACCTTCTCAAGACCCTTGGACTGGAGGAAGTACAGAGGGCTGTGTACCAGGTCATTCAGCTCCCACAGAACTTTAACATATTATCCTAGAGAAGGATAAGCTTCATATAATTTTGTTTAAAAATGCAGTATTATAGAAGGATTCAGTGGGTAGCCAAATAAAAATAACTTATTTCCGTCCTCTGAGAAGATCAGGATTTGGATCACCTAATCACTGAACAGAGGAGGTACTTTTAAAAACAGTTCACCACTTGTTTACTTGTATGTGTGTAAATTGCCTACCCTGTACCCCAGCTATGTTCCTTCCACTGAATTATGAACTAAACTGTTTACCCACCACAAATATTTTGTTATTTAGAAAAAAGAAACAGCTGAGTCCGAGAACTTTATCACATTTCTTTATTGATAGTTTTTTCCCCCTAAAACACCTTCTAGAAGGTACAGAGAATATGGGAAACAGTGC